GATCTGAAGACCGGCTACTGGCAAATTGAAGTAGACGAGAGAGACCCAGAGAAGACTGCATTTATAACCCCGGACGGTCTATACGAGTTCAAGGTGATGCCGTTTGGGCTGTGCACGGCGCCCGCAACGTTTCAGAGAGTCATGGACACTGTGCTCGCAGGCCTGAAGTGGCACACTTGCCTCGTATACCTCGACGACGTTGTCGTATTCGCCCGGACTTTCGACGAACACCTGGTTAACGCTGAAGCCTGAAAAGTGCCGTTTCGCGTACAAGGAACTCAAGTTCTTGGGTCACGTCGTGAACGCTGCAGGAGTCCTACCTGACCCGGCAAGAACATCAGCCATTGCGAACTTCCCAAGGCCGAAAGATAAGAAGGGTGTGCGAAGGTTTCACGGACTGTGCGCATACTACCGGCGCTTCGTCGCAAACTTCGCACGCATTGCAGAGCCACTCACGCGCCTGACGAAAGAAAGCACTCCTTTCAGCTGGGAAAACGACCAAGAAAAGGCATTCTGCGAGGTGCAACAACGCCTGCAAAACCCGCCCGTGCTCGCTCATTTCGACGAAAACGCCGAAACGGAAATGCACACGAACGCCAGTGATATCGGTTTGGGTGCCGTCCTCGTCCAAAAGCAAAGCGGTTACGAAAAGGTAATCGCCTATGCAAGCCGTGGTCTGTCGAAGGAGGAGAGAAACTACTCTGCCTCCGAGAAAGAGTGCCTGGCTATCATATGGGCCATTTCAAAATTTCGCCCATACGTCTATGGTAGACCGTTTAAGGTTGTGACAGACCATCATGCGCTGTGTTGGCTCGCCAATTTGAAGGACCCCTCTGGCCGTCTTGGGCGGTGGAGCTTGCGCCTGCAAGAGTTCGACGTTACAATATTCTACAAATCCGGCAGGAAACACTCCGACGCCGACTGCCTGTCCCGTGCCCCCGTCGACCCACCACCACAGGACTCCGATGAAGACAGCGCGTTCTTCGGAGTCGTGGCAGAGAGCGACCTAGCCGCCCAGCAGCGTGCCGACCCTGACCTCCGCGCCATGATCGACTACCTCGAAGGACGCAACGTCGCCGTGCCTAGGGCGTTCAAGCGCAACTTACCAGCGTTCAGCCTCAAAAACTCCATCCTAGTGAAGAAGAATTTCCACCCCGCAACGAGAACGAATTATCTACTTGTCGTCCCCGCAGACCTTCGTGACGAAATTTTGGAAGCGTGCCACGACGACCCGTCTTCCGGACATCTCGGAACAGCTCGCACGATTACAAAAATCAAGGCGAAATACTTCTGGCCCCACCTTACATCCGATGTCACCCACTACGTCCGGAGCTGCCGTGACTGTCAGCGACGAAAAACACCACCGACGAGACCCGCCGGACTTCTGCAACCGATCGCCGTCCCAACGAGGCCCTTCCAACAGATCGGAATGGACCTTCTGGGCCCGTTCCCTACATCCCGATCCGCAAACAAATGGATTGTCGTAGTGACAGACTACATGACGCGCTACGCAGAGACCACCGCTCTTCCGAGGGGAACTGCACAAGAAGTTGCAAAGTTCTTTATTAACCAAGTTGTGTTGCGACATGGAGCCCCTGAGGTCCTAATCGTGGACCGCGGAACGACCTTCACTGCGGAGCTCATGCAAGGAATCTTACGCTACAGCAACACGGATCACCGAAGAACGACGGCGTACCACCCCCAAACGAACGGACTAACGGAACGGCTGAATAAGACAATCGCGGATATGCTGTCTATGTACGTCGACGTTGAACATAAGACGCGGGACGAAGTCCTCCCGTACGTCACGTTTGCGTACAACACGGCTACCCAAGAAACCACGCAGATGACACTGTTCGAGCTCGTCTACGGAAGACGGCCGACTACGATGCTCGACGCCATGCTTCCGCACGTAGAAGACAACGACCTCAACGCTGACGTCCAATGATACCTCCAACGTGCGGAGGAGGCCTGCCAGCTCGCTCGAGTTCGCATAACGGACCAGCAACTGGTGGATGCCGGACACTACAATCTCCGACGCCGAGACGCCGAGTACCATCCTGGAGATCGTGTGTGGGTTTGGACTCCCATTCGACGACGTGGACTCAGTGAGAAACTTCTACGACGCTATTTCGGACCCTACCGGATTCTACGACGTGTTGGCGAACTAACGTACGAAGTGATTTCCGATGGTGACTCTCGTACATCACGACGATGCACGTGGCCCGAAGTCGTCCATGTGGTTCGCTTAAAACCTTTCTACTGACGATGATGAACATTTATTTTAATTTGTTTGGACTGTCCCTTATGTTAGCATCGGGTCGATGCACTCTTAGAGGGGGGGTAATGCCGCGAACCATGCATTGGGTTTGTTTATTTGTGTTTTGTTTTTTCGGCCTGGCTGCGCCGGCCTGTGCTATCACTGTTTTCACAGCGTTTCGAACAAATGCTATCACAGCGTTTCGAACAAACGCTATCGAACAACGCTTCGAGCGTTCCGAACAAACGCTATCACAGCGTTCTCGATACAATTCGACTATTCTAGAAACCCTCGCGCCGAGGGATATAAATTCCTGCACAGTCGATGCCGCGACATTCGATCGCCGACGCTCACTAGCGTGCACGACGTTTTGCCGACCGCTGCTTCGCCGCCTGTGTACAGTGCAGTCCACTTATAACGATATCGAGAAAACCTAAAAATATGATCGTTATAACCGGTGATCTTTATATCTGGACTGCTGCCAAAAAATCGTCGCCGGACGTACCTTTTGTAGCTCCAGGCTTCATTTCGCTATTTTCACCAATCAATAAATATTGTAGATAGTAGGATGTCAAAAACAAGACTTTATTTCTTACTCTGAAGAACGCATCACGGGTTCGCTGAGGAAGAGAGACTGACCGACGGCGGGGTGGGAGCAGTGGGAGGAAGAAAGCACAGCCAGAGATACACAGCCGGAATGCCAACGAGGCCCCGCCCCGATGCCGCCGCGCCGCTTTGCTTTTCGCTTTTTTTATTTTCTCTCTCTTTCCCGCTTTCGTTCGGCAAGCAACGAGTAGCTTGCCGTTGTAGAAGGCGGGGAGCCGCGGAGCGCGGCGCTTTGCTTTTCGCATTTTTTTTTTAATTCTCTCAGCCTCTCCGCGGTCGACGCGCGGCGAGGCGCAAAACGTGACACACCTGGCGCCATCTGTAGCGCGTCGCGCCAACTCGCGATGCTCTCCTCGGCTTTTTGAACGGCCGGGACGCGCTGCCGGCGCTGTGCTGCAGTGGCGGCAGGTACTCGCCTACGCTAACTTTTCGTCTTGTCTCGGCATAGTTCGTTTCAGAGGAACTTATCAATCTAAATGTTACGATTATTCTGAATGAAACATGCCGTCCACGGCAAACTTTTCATCGTTGTATCCGATATGCGGTGGATAACATATCGTTATATATGGTTTTTTTCCCCATAGCCCCAATGCATAAAATGAGACTGTTAAGTCGACCCATCGTTATAACCGATATATCGTTATATGTGGTATCGTTATAAGTGGACTGCACTGTATTCTTTCAGTTGTTAGGGGAGCACAAGTTCGCTCCAATAAACTTGTTTTCCTTATAGACAACTGCGTCGTCCTTTGCTGCGTGACAATATACAGTGTGGTCCACAATTCCAAGTCTGATTAAAGAATCTGCTACCAATTTTAAAATTTGTTTTCTAAAGAACTAAACGACTTACGGTTGTATAATTTGGCACATATCACCACAGCACCGACGAGAACATGTGTCCAAAGGTTTATTGAAATCGGTGAATATCGAAAACATGCCGGAGTTTCCCTTTGAATGAACATATAGCCACACATCAATTCATCAATTTAAAATTTCAAAAGCTTATTATGCTGGCATATATGCTGAAAGTACAGTCATTTCTAAAATGTAACATAATTTAATCATATCCTGCTACTATTCAGTGTTTTATTTATTTATTTATTCATTTTACCTGCAGCGCCAACAAGGCATTACAGCAGGGGGGTATATGCAAATACATGAATACGATTCATCACATGGGGGAAAAAAAGATAAAAGAAAAAGAAAGAAAAGGAAAAGGAGAACTGACATGAGAATAAGTGGTACAAATCTGCACAATAGCGCGTCAAATGTACAAGCAGTGCCACAATGAAAAATTTACATGTGCGACAAAAACGTGTGAAACAGAGCATCAGATGTACAATTAACAATATTACCTGGTAGTTTATTCCAGGACCCAATGGAATGAGGAAAGAAAGAACCCTTGTACACATCAGTACGGCAATCAATTTCACGAATTTTCCATTCACGGTCGCGTCGCTTAGATACAAAGTCTATCCACTTTCTTTTAAACCAAAACGAGAAGAAAAAATAATAGCATTTGCAAAAGCCTTGTTTAAATTTTTAAAAATTAATATGCAGGCTAGTTAGGTCATTGCAAATATGTCCATTTGTCTTTATAATATGTGATATATATACTGTTCGAATTTGATTAAAAATTAATGAACCAATATTGCTAACTACTTCGAGCCTAATATACACTAAAGTGGAACCCCTTTATAGGAGACAAGCACTGGAGAGTGATTCCAGTCTTTTATATGAGATGCTTCTTATAATCAAGGTACGACATGTATTTTCTCATGAATCCCAATTTTACTGCAGTCTAACAGGCACCTCTTAACTCAATTGTGTGTTACATCACTGTCTCTTATGGGGTTTGACTGTATTCGCACAAGCCTACTAACTTTCGATCTCTCATCAACATTGTCATGACAAGGCTCAAGGGTAGACGACTGGTAGACCGAACTTATCAGCCTAGAAAAAACAGCACTGAGGAACTTAAGAACAGGTCTATACTGCACTAGGCAGTGCAACCGAATTGGGAAGTTTCTACGCATCGAATCGAGTTGACCAGTGCAAGATTTGTAACCAGAAGTTGTCAGGCGAAGCCTTCTTTCTAAAAGAGCGCGCAGAGATGCCAGGGGCGATCACTCACCCGTGCCAGAAGGGCGGCATTTTGGCCATCACCATGCCCTTCGTACACTTCAAGCATGGCACTGCTCTCGCCTTCCGCCCGAGCCACCGGCTGCTGCCACCGAGCAGGCACTGGAGTTCCTTGGCCTAGCACCTCAGTGAGTGACCCTTCTGCACCAGCCTGAAAAACATCGACACCGCAAACAAGATCGCTGAGATGGAAACTCACTGCTATTGCAGAACTTGAGATCACCAGATGATAACGAACGGGTCAGAAGTGAAGCTCAATAGATAAGAGTAAATAAATAAGGATGGGCAAGCACAGAATGCACAGTGCTGTCGAAGTGATTTTTCTTCTTTTTTTTCTTTTTTGCATGAAGAGAGGGGTGAGTCCCCAACCCCCAAATTTATAAATGTAGCATGCGCGTCCAGTAGAATCTCGGTGATATGAACCTTACGAGAGAGTAAAAATGTTTGCATCACGCGAAATTTCGTGTCGCCAAGGGCGTATCAAAATACATTTCGAACCACACTACACACAAAAAACATTTACTGCCCTCAAAAAAACTTATGCACAGTGCAGACCACTTACAATGTAACCGCTCATGGTACAGGACCGGTTACAATGCGGTCTTTTTTTACTCCCGTTCACGCACTCGTAAAACCCATATACGATATATACTCGCATAATGATCGCACCCCCAAATTTTGTCGTCAAAATTTGATTTTTCCTCCCTCGCATAGTGATCACACCCCGAGCTTGCCGCATCGATATGCCGTGTGCCAAGTCTAGTCGATGATCATCGCATTGATCATCTGTCGAATGTTGCATTAATTAGTAACTCTTCGAAGACTTGCCAAGTGAACTGCATGCACCAGGCATATTGATGATTTTTTTATTGCAATAAAGGCAAATGCTGCAGTTTTCAATGCATGCTCGACATGTTTTTTTATGTCAATGGCAGCTGAACGCGCTCATCTCTGTATCAGTTCTCTGAAAGGAGGCATCACTATGCTGATGCCGCAAATTTACCGATTTAACAGGGCAGACTGGTCTTCGGGACCAAAAAAGTGACAAAAAAAAAAATTCATTTTTTAAAATTGACATATTTGGTTTCTGCAAGTATTTTTCTATATCTCTGCCAATTTTGACACACCAGAAAGTGGTGATTTTTTTGTAATGTCATTCGAACTGTCTAGATTCTTGGTGCTGTTAACATGCAGAACCTGCAAAAAAATTAGGAACCGACTTCAAGGCTTCTTAATAATTTGCCGGGACCTATGTTAGAAGCTCTGCAATTAATTTACGAGCACCTTTATGAGGATTGCAAAACATGCGCACCACGATTGTTGCTTCTCGAAGAAGCCGTTTTTTTTTCTCGTTTTTTCCATTATTCTAACAAAAAAGTAAATTTACCGCTGTTCAATTTTGAGGCCTCAATATCTCTGCAGCTAGGTCAGGTACAACAATAATTCTTGTTGCAATAGAAGCCTGTATGTGTGCAGAATGCAAGTATGGGAGCAAAATTTAGAGCACAAACCTTTTTAATTAATTACTCATCAAAATTGTAACACAACTCCAACTGCTTTTGAAAATGGATAGTTCATTTTGCTGTAAAATAACCAAGAAAGGCCCAAAAACAAAAAAACTCTTGCATACTTTCAATCTATAGTCATTAGTCTATGTAGGTATATCTTAAATATCACTTTTCATTAAGCCTTTTTTTTCCATGGCAGCCTTAAACAATAGGAGGTGAACTTAAGTTATCTCAGGAACAAGATGAGTGACAGGAAAACTAATTAAATATTTGAAATCAGCAGAAAAAACTGCATATTCCTGTGCAGTTTGATAAATATCACTGAAGAAATAAACAAAAAGTGTCTACAACCAGTCCGCCCCCCTTAAATGAAAGCATTTCTAAATAAGACGGAACAGGCCATAAATACATGTGCTTTTATGGAGTAACGACGGGGTACAGAAAAACTTTGTAATATCGAGGAAGTAATTATATAGAGGTTCGTTATAAGCAGGTTTAACTGTATTTGCGACTCTTGGGACTCGTGCTATACACAGTCTATACTGTATATCTTTCTTGGGCAGATACATAAAGGATGGAGGAGCTGGCTGCCGAGAATGCTTGTATCAAAGCTTCACCTGAGGCCAACTGATAACTACCGTAAAAACCCGCATATAGCTCGGACCCGCATATAGTCCGGGGTGTAATTCGGGGATAGCAAACGTGAGAAAAAAAGTTTTCACCCGAATATAGTCCGAGGAAAATGGAAAAAATGCATTTATTGACATTTCATTCATCCTCGTCGTCGGACGCACTCTCTTCCGAAGCTCCCTTGTCGGAAATGTTCTCCCACAGCACATCATCCTCAGTGCCATCAAGCGCGTTGGAGATGGAGCACTTTTTGAAGGCGCGGCAAACGAGCGCCTCTGGAATGCAGGCCCAAGCCTCGACTATCCACGAGCAGAGCATCGCTGGCGAGGCCCGTTTCAGCCGTCCGGCAGGGGTCACTTCTGGTTCTCCGGACCTCATCCACTCCACGTACAGGCGCTTGACATGGTCCTTAAATGGCTTATTAAGGCACACATCAAGCGGCTGCAGCTGTGATGTCATCCCTCCCGGGATGACGACGAGCTCGGTGCGGGAGTCGCGCAGCAGTCGCTTTACGGAGTCGGCCAGGTGACACCGAAACGCGTCGAGCACAAGCATCGAAGGGAGCCCCAGCAGTGCTCCGGGCCGTCGACACCACACGGACTTTATCCAGTCAAGGACTAACGATTCGTCCATCCACCCCTTGTCCTGGCAGCGGACGACGACATTTTTCGGGAACTTCTCCCCCTTCGGCAGCGTCTTTCGTTTGAACACCACGTAGGGTGGCAGCTTGCGACCGTCAGCCGTGCAGGATAACATTACAGTCACCCGCGTTTTTTCGTTTCCAGTCGACCGCACGATAACTTGCCTGGAGCCTTTTTGATGCACCGTCAGCGCCGAGGGCATATCCAGGTAGACCGGCGTCTGATCCGCGTTGCCGATCTGGCCCAGCTGAAAGGGGACTGCCTTTCGCAACACAATTATGTACCTTTGAAAAGCCACGAGGTGCTCTTCGTAGCTCTCTGGTAGCTTCTGGGAGATCGACGTACGCCGACGTAGGGAGAACCCAGCGCGGCGCATGAAGCGAGACACCCAATGCTTGCTCGCTTTGAAATCCTCCGGCTGAATGCCTTTGTCTCGAGCGATCTCCCTTGCCTTCGCTTGTAGCAGCTCGATGTTGACAGCGAGATGTGCAGCTCGCTGCTCCCGCACAAAGTCTGTGAGTTCTCGTTCCACGTCAGGAAATGCTCCATTTTTTGGTCCGCGGAAACTTTTTCGCTGGCCGCTGCATGCAAAGAGGGCTTCCTTCTGCTTCCGCCAACCGCGAATGCTCCGCTCGTTGACTCCGAACTGCCGCTCCGCGGCACAGTTGCCGATGGTTTCGGCAGCAGCGATAACTTTTCTTTTAAAAGCAGCAGAGTACTGCCTGCGCGGTCCTGACATGGCGTAAAATCACAGGAGCAAAATCGAGGCCGTCATTATGGGCACCAAGTTGAAGCAAAGGCCACTGACCAACTGACCAGTTAAGACTAACGCCGCTAACACTACCTAGCGCAGAAGCGCGCAGACAGCTGATGATGATGATAGCACCGCGCTATGCCGAAACCGAAACTGAATTTGGGCCGAAAATTCTTGGGACCCGCATATAGTACGGGGCCGAAATTTCGCACCCTAAAATCTAGAAAAAAACCCCGGGCTATACGCGGGTTTTTACGGTAAGCGCTGACGTCCGCTCCATCAGTCACAAGCCAACAACAAACTAGAATGATTCGCATTTTCTTACAGCGTTATTGCCTTCAATCCACAAACTTTGGAGCTGCTTAGTTGCTAGCGATGATCATGCCTATAGTGACCGCAGTTTCGTGCGCAGAGAGGTTGAGGCAAACGGTAGTTCTGATTTCAGCCCATGTGCACTGACCACGCATATGCCTTCAGAACTACAACACTGCTATCGATAATCATGTCTAGTGCTCCTTTGTCCACAGAAGTTGCGGCAGACAGCACCTTTTTACTTAGCAAGCTTTGCATGTACATACACTTTTCAGAGTTTCGTTGTTGCCATAGATGGCTACATCGATGGCCTCATTTACAGTGGTTGTCAGAAATGTTGACCACAGTCCTGACAGCAAGCACTGGCCGTGCATGTACTACGAATGCTTTCAGCAAGCGCTTATGTTGGGTGTTGCTCGGTTGTTTCGGTAACGAAGTTTTTATACCCTGTCGTGACCCCGAAACGTGGTCGAATCATTCAAATTCTAGCCCACTGGACCAAATGGCATTCGGCCAGGGTATTTCATGATTTTGTATCAGCCGGGTACACATCACCAAGATCCTACAGCATATTCATGCACACACAAAAATACATGCATGAACATACATAAAGGATGATTGCACCCTCTCTGAAAAGAAATAAATATATATTTCTGGTGTAACGTTTAACACAGATTGCCATAAGTGTTGATGCAGCAAACAAAGTTCTAATGTAATGCCTACAGAAGGCAGCAGGTCTCACTATGCTCCATCTCGTGAGCTCACCTTGACGTAGACGCTGTGGGCGAGAGCTGGAACTTGCACGAGAGGAGGTACGTCTCTGACCGCCTCGCCCCGAGAGGAGAGAAGCGCTGCCTGCAATGGATGTGATAGAACCGTGTGGGATGTCACAAACCCATCTTTACCCACAGTGTGGAGGAAATGACGAAACAATAAGCCCCTCCCCGGCGCAAAGCACGCGTAGGAGATAAGCGCACATCGCAATGAGCTGAACGCCAAGCGTGCTCAATGTGCCATCTGGCTGGTAATGCCGAAAACACGCTATATCCCCCGAGGTCGGCAGTGCCAGCACTAAGTGGTAGACATAAATAGCTTGCCGTTTGAACACTGAAAGAGGTGCTCCTTCTTGGCTCAGCACTTAGCACATTTAAGCATGGATATTAAAGTCGCTTTACTGTCTATGACAACTCGCCAATCAGCAGTCTTTGTGCCTAACTTTTCTACATGCAACTTAACATATCCATAAGACGTAGTCACTGTGCTAATCCCCCCCCCCCCCCAAAACTGCCTAGGCATGTAGCGGATTGCGGAGCTTTACTGAGCTTAGAAAATGTGACTAAGTTTTAAACCAGGGTGTCACATTAAGGGTGCGTACTGTGCTAGTAAATGTGATAGATTCCACAAAGACTCTTCACACATGCTGCTACACTTTTTTTTTTCTGTATTTTCTCCAGGATTACTGTGATGCTGCTCACAGAATGTGGCAGTCTTAGTACACGCAAAGCTCAATATGCAGTAGACGTGAAAAATTCTAACGTGGGAAGTCCACGTTTCTTCTACCTTGGTAAAGGTTTACATAGAATTTTTTATTACAGTCGATTTTGGATCTATCAAACTCGAAAAGAATTGCGAAATAATTTGATATATCAATAATTCGAAATACAAAATATGCATAGTTATGGCTTACATTAAATCAGTACTCAAAAATCGTTGCAAGCACTAACATAACGATTCGCTCACAGTATAATGAAGAACAAGGTGTGAACTGCACGTTACCGCACTTTGTTTCACCTTAAAATAGTTCATAAACTCATTTTGCTTCTTGCAAGCTGTCAAGTTCTGGTCATTCTCAATATCATTGAAGCTTTTTAAATAAGCGAATTCAGCTGCTTCGGCCCCAACAACGTTGATAGATGCAGAACGTCGATGCAAGCTTTGTAACGCTGCAAAAGGTTGGTTAGCAGTGCCAGTGAATGCGTTGTTATACATATTCATAACTGTACGAGATCACTTCCTCGGCAATGGCGGCCATGATCTCAGCATCGATGCAGTCAGAAACAGCTACGTCGTCATCTGCACCATTAAGTCGCTCACAGTCTGAGATGGAGCGTCTACTGTAGTATTTTATGTTCAGTATTTGCACAAAGTTCATGAACAACTCACCTGCATGGCCGCACCCAAGGCAATCACTTCATCGGGGCTGTGGGTGTCGAGTAGCTGCGACGTAGGAAAACGTGACGCCAGGAGGCTGCGCAGTCGGCGCACTTTGGTCGAGCCACCACACAGAACCACCTTGTTGAGGAAAGAAGAGAGATACAGAAGACAAAGGATACACGCTCAGACAAATATTACGTCACACAATTTGCTCAAGACGAAACGAAGGTGAAAGCCATTTTTTTCAAAGCTTCTCAAGTCGATTGTAATTATCAAATTGAAAGCTTCTGAAAGTTTCTGCACCAAACATGGCTCGGCACTGCCACTGTCACCCCTGACCAAGCAATGACGCCTTGTGACGATATCATCTTACGTCATGCAATGCGACATTACTACGGTGCCACAAATTTTAGCCTCACCTTATGATGCCATGGAAATACAAAGAATACTGCCGTGTGATGACACTTTTCGCATCACTCGTGCTGACACCACCGACATTCAATTTTCATGCTTGACAAGAGCTCTAAGGCTTCCCCTTTAATAGCTATCATTGCAGACTACCGTATTTACTCGCATAATCCTCGGACTTTTTTTGGTAGAAAACCAATGCAAAGTTAGGGGGTGCGAGAATTATGCGGGGAAAACTTTCCATGAAGAGGTACAGTGCAAAAAAGTAAAACGAAGTGGCCACGAATCGGGATTCTCACACCAGCAACTAACAGCAAGCTTTGAGAAGTACTAATTAAAACTTACCTCAACATTAAAAGCACTGGTTCAACACACGGCAAGATTTATTTGAGACGCTAAAAGTGCAAGCAAATAGTCGAGAATTAGAATATTATACGCAAAGCTTGTGGGTGTTGCGGCCGTAGCGGTAGCATTCGTTGGGCGACAGGAGCCCTCAAAAGGTAAGCGTAGGACGTCAGTATTGGGCTGATGGCTATTTAATAGAATCGTCTACAGTTTCCTTCTGAAGAAATAAAGTTTACGATCAATCCCAGTTTTAGCAGTTTTAGGCACTTGGCAGGTCAACGAGTCTTGGTGGCTTTCAGCTGCCGTCACCAGTAGCGAACACAAAACTCGTAGACTCCGAAGGGCCTACCGGCGGGCCCTGTTGTCGTTGTTTAGCACATGATCTATCACTTTCAACTTGAAAGCAGCCGTGTAGCTTCAGTATCGCCCCATAACGTGACAAGATTACCAACACAACATAAAAAACACGCCGCAACGCGCACTTGCCACTTTGGCTTGGATCTCCATGCTAATAGTACGCTTGATGCTTAGGAGATGGCGCCAGATGACGCGCGCTATTATCATCAGTGGCTGGAACGAGCAGACGACATTATTGCGGCAGTTTTTGGGGGGGCGATTATTACTTGAGGAAAAAAAGAAATCGTATTTTTGTTGGGCGATGTGGGGGGTGCTAGAATTATGTGAGTGGGAGGATTAAGCGAGTAAATACGGTATGTGGCCCACGCATGCAGTGAGCCTGGTATCTGCACTTTGGGAAATATATAAGTTTTATCACTGAAAAATATGTGCCATGCGTCCTGGTTTGCAAAAGATTGGGGCAAATACATAACGAAAGTAAGCAAGCAACACTTGCACATGCACCGAGCCACCTTTCAGGGCTATTTCATTGTCGTGTGTTCAGTTCAGTAGGCCCAACTAGGCTTGTGCGAATAGTTAATATTAGGTTCGAAGTGAATAGTAGATTTAGTCGAATAATTTCGAATCAAGTTCGAATAGTGTATATCATACATTACAAAAAAGATTGGCATATTTGTTATGACCTAACTTACCTGCACAGTATTCTTTAAAAATTGAAACAACACCTCTGACAATGCCATTTTTTTGGTTCAAAAGACGATGGAACAACTTAAAATAGTAGCAGGATCTGGCTTCCAGTCGAATGCAAGCAATAACCTGCAAACTATGTTCATTCTACAATTTACTACACTTAGAGCATATAAGCTGGTATAGCAAGCTTTTAAACTTTAAAAACGACGAATCAGTGTGAGGGTATGACGTTCATCTAACCTTCAAGTAAGGCTTTGCGGCAGTGCAGATTTCCCCTGCCAAGGTGTTTTCACAGCTTCGTGCATACACACACACACACATCTCCACTGCAGTGAAGCCATCCTAACAAGAGGGTTACATGCAGACTACTTCGTTTATTAGAAGTACTTCGAAGTTTTCAACAATTTAAACTAGAGTCGAAGGAAATTCGTATACTATAGTATTCGTCCGAATATTCAAAGCATTCGAATATTCACACAAACCTAGGCCTAACATCAACTCAGGAGCCAAAACAGCAAGTGGCACATTCCAAACTAGAGGTTCTCCCTCACCTTGTGGATGTCAGAGGCATCGAGGCCGCCCTGCTGCAGAACCTCGTCCACAAGCTCTGTACACCGCGTCAGCAGGGAGCCCAGCAAGGATTCAAACCGTGCCCTGGTTGTAGACACCAAGCACAGACCAATAATGCAAGTAAATATTCCATATCCCTTCTCTCTTCGGTGTCTAGGTTTTCTATCCTCTTATCTCACAGTGCCATCAGCGCATCGTCCAAGCAGAAAAGCATGCCCACGGACCTCTTCAAAATCCAGATTCAGTGCCTATCTTGGCTGACCAGACCAACTAGCTAATTTACCAGATGCAAGAATTAAGCTTATTTGTTCCTCACAATTCCTCTAGACTTTTTACTAGGTGGAATTCTCAGGTAATGAACACAGCCTTTCTTAAAAGCTTGTCTATTTTGTGCCCCTTCATGAAGCACCCGGTGGTGCTACAGAGTTGCTCAGATTTGAAGCAATTTTTGGAGCAGCAAAAAATTCCATTTTAGAGCTTTTTGGAGCAGGTAATTTTGCATATTAGAGCAGTTTGGAGCAGTTAACTTCACATCTTGGAGTACAGCCTAGAAGCAAGTTGCATTTATATTCAAGGACCTCAATAATTATTTTGCGGACCTTGTGAAGAGCTAGAAATTATTAGATTGATTGCAAATTTCATGGAGCCAATTATCCTAGGGGCACTCCCTATTTCACTCGCTCTTGCGAAAATATAGATGAAAACCAACATGTCAACGTGTTTTAGCAAAAATAACGGCGCCTCGCAGTTGATCATTCCCCAAAACTTGTTCAATGATTATTTTTGTCACAAAGAAACAGATGCGAGTTTGACAAAGCTGTACTTCATGAAATAATATTTTAAATACATCTATATGTGGTTATCAGCAGACAAACACTGCGAGGAACAGCAATGCCTCAATGCTAAAGACTCACACTGCCCAAAATGCATCCGCTAGGACAACTTTGAGGAGAGAGAGGTTATTTTTTTTCACGGTCAATTATATGCTGGGCGTAACATGACATCAATTGGCTAGCCTGTCTAACTTCTTTCAGCACTACCTTCCGCCATCTGAAGCCTTTACATACCGGAGGAAGAGCATTCTCGTCATGCTTCTAGACAATCATTTGCAACTGCACTGGGTTGCCGGATGTGGAGATGGACAAACGGGTCCTTCCATCAATGACAAATTTAGGAAGCATGCTAATAGCCGAGGCAAAAGAGATCATGTGCACCTCCCTGCGCACTGCAACGCCTGCCGATGAGAACCAAGCTTTGTGCAAGAGGTGATTCTCGGTAAGAAGAGCAAACAAACAGCTAGAAAGCTCTTGGAAGCATTTTTTATCAAAAAAAAAAAAGTCTAATTGTATCAGTGAAACAACTATAATGTTGTACTCGACAGAAACGCGTTTTTTCGATAGCTTGTTGCCTTGACCATGTCGCTGTACTTCTTTTGTTGACTGTACACACACGCACAAAATGTCCTCTCTTTTTTCCTGTGCGTTTTTTAGACTGTCATTAAACAGTTGGTAGTTGGCGCTGCTCTTTCTTCTCTCCTGCTTTTTCTGTTACAGGAAATGTGCTTTCAACCTAGTCATTTGCACCAAGTAAGCACCCAACTCGACCAAAAACAAGTCCTTTTGGAAGACGAGCTTCACAGCGACACAGCAGTGACGTGCGGGCAGCAAACCGCACGTTTCTCGCTGTGTCAGTACGCCATGATTTACCCATTCCTTCTGGAATTGTCAAGAAATTTAACAAAGGACAGTTTCGCAGAATTCCCGATGTATGCAAACCTTCGATTGCCAGTTGCTCCAGCAAACTGCGCACCTACACTGCTGGTGGAGTTCCTGCCTGCAACGCCTACTTTGAAAACTAAATTCGAAAGCTTCAATGATGATGTTTTCCAGCCAACACATATCCCAAACTTCGGCAAGGTGATTATTATTAAATTATTTATTTTACCAGAAAGAATGGGTCACATCATGATGTGCTGACATTTACAGAGGTAGACTTGGAAGAGCAATAGTAAAAGGACAGACAAAACAACATGTATACCACAGCGTATGCAAGCACTCAAGAGGTTGAGTGTTGTGGCACACCTGCTGATGTTGAGGCTGAGATCCATCCCCTCGTAGACAGACTCCGCGAAGCACTGGGCTGTCTCCAGTGTTGCCAGGACATGCTTGGCCGTCTCAGCGGCATTCCACAGCCGTGCCAGTGCCCGTCGGCTTTCACGCAGGTCAGCCCCACGGCTTTGGCTGTAAAAGTTTATTAACCTGCCTTACAATTTATACAATGTTTTGCAGGCAAAAATTCTGTCAGCTGGGAAAAGTGTCAACGAGTAATGCAATGACCCAAAAAAACAATGTGTGATTAAAAATCTTAAAAGGTATATCAATGTGACGAAATACATTTGGAGCAAGAAAGCGAAACAAAGACACTACACTTGTTGTTCTGTGCCTTTTATTAGCCCATTGTCTCCTGTTACACAAGTTTACGTTTGTCGTAATGAAAACACAACTAGCCCAACATTTCAGTCTTCTAAGACAGCTAAACGATTAATTAACCAGAACGCACTTATAAACAAATTGAATGCATAGAAAAGTAGGCTCTTCTTTTCTGGCGGCTTTTATCTTGTGCTAGAGAGTGGTGCCAAACAAAAAGTGCTTACAAGCAAAAAAAAAAAGAGAAAGAGAGAGAGCCCGGCTTCTTGCGCACTCACCGCTTGAACTCCTGGGCGCAGTGGTCGACGACGGCCGCAGTGAAGTCCCGGCCACCCAGGGCCGGTTTTGTGGTGGCGTGGGCCACAAGGCGGTAGGCGCCATTGCACACTGCCACTACGCTTGCACTTGCCGTCCGACCACCCAGTCGATACAGTAGGTACCGGCTGCAGCAAATGTAGAACGCAAGGTCACACGGGTGAAATTATCACAAGACCTGTCTACAAGTTCAGGTTCAGACTGAGAAAAGTTGTTGAACTAAGCAACAAAGGGGTCAGTGTTGTCGCAGATGATGATGACCATACGTACAGGCCTGTGAAGTATGCACTTCCTCATTAAAAATTCTGGGTTTCTGCCACTCAAACAGCGTTTTCTTCGTTCAGTCCGCACCTGAGGCACGCTTTTATGCGATAGAGTTAAAGAGCTCGTTTTGCAGAAGTTTTGGCATCGATGTCGTTGGTTGCGAGCAAAAAATTACTTTGTGCATGACCGAAAAATAGAGAGAGATGCAAATAAAATAATAAAAAATTCCGGGTCCAAGTGAAGATCGAACCCGGGTCGCTTGCACGGCAAGTGGGTGTTCTACCACACGGACATGCGTCTGCTGGTGAACACAGTGAAAATAACTTCCTCTGCTTGAAAATGCAGTGCAAGTAACTTTCATGCTTTACAAACACATGCGTCTTGTATACATGCTTCCCAATAACATCATCAAATATTACAGTAATTATGCGTGGTACAAGTGCCCATTGCCATCGGGTGTCAAAACATGTGATTATCATAATGCTTTCATGGTTTAAAGCTGTTCACCCACTAACAAAGCACACACGTTACTGCTTCTATTCCCTTTAAAGCCACACAGTGGGTGCATAGCAAGTTTCAAAAGATTTTATGCACTAAGTGTTTGAAGGAAGAATGGTCTTGCAACAGTTACAGTGTTGGGAATACCGTATTCATTCAAATCTAGGCCAATGGTTTTTTTTTCAAAATTTTTTTACATAAAACTTCAGGGTCGGCTTAGATTCGAGGATTTTGAAAAACGCACCATTATTCATAGAGATAAGCGGTGCACAACTAGCACGACTTAGATGGTATTATAGCCGTTAGTAGCCAAGCCAACACCTGGCCTGAGTGCACACGTGAGGCTATCATTTTGATCTTTGTGGCGAGTGTTGAGGCGAGCCGATCGTCATTTTGAGTCGCGCTTCAAGGGGTCTGTGAGTGGCGTAGCTCAATAGCATCAAACAGGCAGTGTCATTATAGTGCCGGTTATAAAAAAAAGTTGACCTAGCCGCACAGTCGTCGTCTAACGCTCAAGCCGGACGGCACTTTGGAGTGGATGAAGAAAATGTGTGCCGCTGGAGGGGCTGCAGCGTGGGACAACAACCCAGGAACTTTGATTGTGCGCTGTTTGAAGATAGAGACAAAGAATTCAGCGACGAGGGGAGCAGCAACGACGACTCGGAATGAGCGCAGCATCGGCAACTGCTTTGTTTCATCTTCATGTTGAATAAATGTTTTCTTTCTGTGAATGCCGTCTTGGCTGTTTCATTCGGCCTACATTCGAGGTAAGTTTTTTTTCCCCCTGGCATCGGTCTTTTGGAGGTTGGCTTAAAATCGGGGTCGGCCTTGATTCGAGTAAATAAGGTATACCTTTATAATGAATTTTCAAATATGGCAAACTCATTCTTAGATAAGATGCAATTTTATTTAACGAGACTTGAGTACAAATACAGTATTACAAGTTTATTTAATAGCTTGTCCCGATATTGTACATCTTTCCTTCATTTGCAGCTTGGAATAGTCGTACAACTTCATGCATTTTACCGGTCTCATCCAGTCTACCCTCTCACTTACATTTCAATTACCATGAAAACACCAGGGTGCTAGCTACCTTGCTTTTCTCTCTGTGCTTTTGGAGGAGTCATGTTGAGCCCACTCACAGATTGGCAAACCTTTCCTTCCAAGCACAAAAAAAAAAAAAGAAAGGCTCACCAGACATCGAGAGATGGGGCTGTGCCCATGTGATAGGCCAGGGCTGCTGCAGTGGGTTCATTGACTAGCCGGAGGACTTGGAAGCCTGCCTTGGTGGCCGCAGCACTGCAACACAAACAAACGCGTGCCCCGCGTATAAACATTTCACAATGCTAACCCAACAGGCAAGCAGTGGAAAGTGACAGCACACGCAACAGCAATGTTATCGAAGCATGTAAACTACGAGGTGTTTTTTTATATCTTTAAATCTCCACATTGCCTTACAAGAAATACCATAGAGCAGGACTCCGGGTCAAGTTTTACCACTTGGCTATTTTGACCTGCACTCAATGCTCCACCAAAAAGAAAATGCGAAAACACACACACAGACGCAAAAAAAGTAGAAACAAAACAGCTAAACTTGGTGCTTGCACTTTGTTTCTTTTCTTTGATGGTTTATGTTTCTGCATACTTAATCACATATGCCGCCCTCACCATGGCTGGGAATCGAGCCAACCGTTCTTTGCATTGCAGCTGAGTTAAAGAGCCATGAAGGCGAGGTTCAGAAAGATGTAAGCGAGAAGAATTGATGGCAGGCATTATACAGTTGTGGCCAAAGGAGACGTGAATGGACACAGCAGCAACATGAAAGCGAACAAGGAAAACGCTCAAACGTGAGCATACGGCCAGAGTCAGCATAGCAGGTCAGTCGCTTTTACATACACTACTAGTAGTAACGAGGAGTTGGGACGTTTAAGAAAGGACGGCATCTACTTTACTGAAATAAAAGACTTGTAGCGCCACGCTAGATTTGGCTAAGTGGCCGCACCAAGAAAGAAGCGAGCAACGAGGTATGACAGAATAGCCTAGCTTCGGAACCTGGCTTGACGCTGCAGCGGTGACTCCGCCTACGCCTGCATCCCGAATGAAGCCTTGACCTTAGCACGGGCTCGTCGCGACCGTCTCACCTCTCCTTCCTCGACATATGGTGACCCGTAGAACGCGCCCTTCGACGAGCCATCAGCTGCCATGTTCCCGCGACTCTGTCCGCCAGTGCCGCCGTTCCAATCGACCTACCCCAAGGTATGGCTTATGCAGCTTGACGCAGTTCTTGCGGTGAATGGCGTCACGGACCAGCCGCTGACGTACGCCATTTTTCTCGACGCCCTTCTGGTAGAGCTGCCTCATTTCTCTGCCCCTTCAAGCTCCAGTCTGCAGCCTTACGATGACCTCTGTTCCGCAGTGCTGGCCTCCTACGGCCTCACGTACCGCCCACTTCCGTTCACCTGTGACTTCAAGGTTTCTCTTGCGTCGCAGCGTGCGGTACCCTCCAGCTCGAAACTATCCAATGATCGGGACCTAACTTCCTTGACTACGTCTCCTACAACCTTTCGTCCGACGACTGGCGAAGCAAGTTCCGCGTACGACTGCCCGTCCGACGAGGTTCAAGACATTCGTGCTGCATGCGACCAGTCAGCCACGAGATCCGACGAGGTTCTTCAAGACGTTTCGACCGTCAACGAACAGGCGGTCACGAGGTGCATTTTTTCGAAATCCTCGGCCGGTGGTCCCTCAGGCGCTTTCGCCACCCACACATCTTCTCTGACTTCCACAGACCACGACTTCTCGAACATGTTAGGCTCCACGACGGCAACATCGCCGAATGCCCCGGTGTCTACCACGACTACGGACATAGTATCGCCCGCTATTCGCCCCTCGATCGCAGAGGCTTCAGCATCGACGATGTCTGAAGGCGCCTCCCCACCCACCTCGACGCTCTGTGTGTCCGCCAGCAGCGACCACCTTCGCCCTCGCAGTCTCCCGCAGCCGAAGTTAATGTCACAAGCCGTCAACCACAGCCAAACTTCGGAGACGCTGCGACTATGACTGACGCAGCTGAGGACTACGTACCCGGTGCGCCCATGGCAGAGCAGACCACACATGCCACTATGCTGTAGAGGTCATTGATCATGCAGACCTGCACGCCAACCCTCATGCGCGGACAACCGATGGTCGTTCAACACGTGCAGGTGTGCCGCCCGATCCTCCAGCGAAGCTCACGTCTTCTGAGCTCTCAACCATTCCCCAGAGCCGGACGCATTCGACGCCGGACGCAGTCCGCCACGCAGGCTCGTTGGTAACAACAGCGACAATGTGCGGTATAACTGCATATCTTCCGCCCTTGACAGTATGCCGATGAAATCATCACGTTCGGCATAATACAGAGCGGCCTTTTTTCAAGCTTCCTGCTAAACAGCCATGTGTTGCAGCCCTGGCCTTCAAGACGGCGCAAGCACCTACGAGGGTTGTCGACGCAATGGCTAACCATTTGCCGTGCACATGACTAACCAAAATACACAACGTTTTCGCATTCGTCAACTCGGCCACCCACCCTGGCATCCCGCCCGCAGTGCTGCGGCTGTGAAACTTCAGTGCTCGGTCATCATGGGTGTGCTTCGGTCCTTCACACTATTTCGCCCACATCGTCGACGCGAGCTCTTCAGCGCCTGTCCACGGTTCCAGCTGTTGGCACGTTTATCAGCCGCGTCCACTTGAACCGGCGGGTGCGCTTTCGAATGGTACCGCCGCGTCGTTGTAGGATACACGTGTCTATTAATGCAGCGACCCGGCGCTTTTATCTTCGTCCACTGCGTTTCTTCCAGTGTTGCCCGCCGGAGATCCACTGCTTCTTGATGGCCCATACACGTTGACAACCTGGACTTCCCAAACGGACACTTTACGGATTGTCGTTCATGTATACAGCATCTGTCCCTCCCTTTCTTTTGTACATTGGTTTTTAATCGCGCAAAGTGCTAGGGGGGGAGCCTATGTAGCGTCACACTAGATTTGCCAAAGTGGCCGCGCCGAAAAAGAAGCGAGCCGCGTGGCTCGTGTGGTGCGAGCCACGAGGTATGACAGAACGGCCTATCTTCGGAACCTGGCATAACGCTGCAGCGGTGACTCCGCCCACGCCTGCGTCCCGAATGAAGCCTTGACCTCGGCACGGGCTCATCGCGACCGTCTCCTTCCTCGACATATCCTGTAGCGCCTCAGAATGCAGCGCTCGTCAAGGAAGAAGTTGACACTGGGCGCGTGGCGGGTGCAGCGCGACAATAAAAAATTAGTTCGAAAACTGAGCGCTGTCAGGGCTGAATCTTCCCCGTGTTAACTCCGACAGTTAATAGTGACCTGATAAAGAACACACAGCCCCGATCATCCCGCACGGATCCCGCTGGCTCTGCCACCAATCCTACTGGTCCTGACGCCCAAGAAGACGCCAGACCTAGCGGTGCTGCAGTCGCTGCAATTCAACATGTCAACCTGCCACCATTTTGGCCCAACAGCCCCAGCACATGGTTTCTGCAAGTCGAGGCGCACTTCCGTCTTCAGCAAATCACCAGCCAACAGACCAGGTACTGGCATCTGGTGTCCTGCTTACCTCCAGACGTAGCCGACGACTTAGCTAATATTTTAGCGTCGCCGCACCCAAGCCATCCCTACGACACGTTGAAGGCAGCTATCATTTCCGGCAAGTCTGAGTCCGAACACACCAGACTCCAACAGCTCATTATGGCTACAAAGCTTGGTGACCGTCGCCCATCACAGCTCCTGCGACGCATGCGCCAGCTCCTTGGCGGCCCCTCCGACCCCCAAGAGGAGAAGCGGTTACGAGAGTTGTTCCTCCAGCGCTTACCGCACAGCATGGTCCCGGTCCTCGTAGCTGTAGGAGATGTCCCAGTAGACATAGTCGCTGAAATGGCTGACTGAGTGGGGGACTACTCGCGGGCACATAGCCTCAACGCTGTTACCACACCGGCACCGGCCACCGCTGCAGACCCGACACTCGCGAGCATCGAGAACTGTTTGGACGCCCTTGTCAGGCACCTCGATGACTTTGTACCTACTCATCGTCAACATCAATCCAGGTTCCCAATACACAGTCGCTCCTCGACGCCCGCACGTTCTCCGGAACTTCGGCCAACCAACGCGCCGCGGAACGTCTCATCTTCAATCGTGTGCTGGTACCACCGTTGATTCGATGCCTCTGCTCAAAAGTGCACTCGCCCGTGCTCCTGGTCGGGAAATGCGACAACCGGCCACTGATGGCGGCAAGTGGTACTAGTCGAAAATCATGCCGCCTTTTCTATGTTTCTGATAAAATCACTGACGCTTGCTTCCTAGTCGACGCAGGAGCCCAGGTTAGCGTCATCCTGGCCACGTGTGCAGATCACCGTCGCAATTAACGGACCTGCCCACTCCAAGCAATCAACAATTCCGCCATTCCCACATACGGCCAACGCTCTATTACACTTGACCTTAGACTACGCCGTACGTTCCGCTGGATTTTCATCTTTGCTGACGTCTCGTAAGCTGTTCTTGGAGCTGACTTCCTCAGTTTTTTCATCCTTGCTGTAGACATGTATGCTCATCGCCACATTGATCTCAACACCCACCTCTTCATCAACGGTGTACTCTGTACTTCCTCGCCAACGGGACTGCGAGCTCTCACACCTGCTTCGTCGTATGCAAAAATACTCGCCGACTTTCCCAGCATCACGAAGCCGCGCACCAGAGAGTCACCGGAGAAGCATTCCATCACTCACCACATTGTGACCACTGGACTTCCCGTTTTTACACGATCCCGTCGACTATCTGGAGAACGCCTCGCCATTGCCTGCCGTAAATTTGAGCACATGCTTGAACTTTGCATTGTGTGGCCTTCCTCCAGCAACTGGGCGTCACCACTCCACATGGTACCGAAGAAAGATCCTGGCGACTGGAGATCATGTGGGGATCGCCGCGCTCTCAATACCCACACCTTACCAGACCGGTATCCACTTCCTCGCATACAGGATTTCACGTCAAATTTGGCAGGGTGCACAATCTTCTCCATGATTGACTTAGTCGAACTTTGACCACAAGCCCCTGACGTTTGCTTTCCATCGCAATCGCAGCAATTATACTGCACAGGAGGTTCGTCAACTACGCTTTATTTCCGAGTTCATTGTGGATCTTAGACACGTACATGGGCAGGAAAATGCTGCTGCTGATGCACTATCCCGCATCGATGCCTTGTCGATCCAGCCACCACTAGAAATTGAAGAACTAGCAGCTTACCATCAGATTTCTGTAGAACCCGCCGACATTCTGAAGACGGATATCACCGCCCCATTCGGTCGGTTTGAATATGTGAGGATGTCTTTTGGATTGCGCAACTCTGCACAGACCTTTAAGCGCACTATCAGCGAGGTCACGCGAGGTCTCGATTTCGTATTTGCCTACCTTGATGACCTCCTTGTAGCAAGCTCATCCGGCCCTGAGCATGAAGCCCACCTGCGCACCCTGTTCCACCGCCTGGATGATTACGGCCTCGTAATTAATCCCAATAAGTGCCTCTTCGGCGTCGCTACAATAGAGTTCCTAGGACCCTTTGTCACTCCAAAGGGTATCCCACCACTCGCCAGCAAAGTGAAAGCTATTCAAGACTTTCCACCCCCGACTTCACTAAGGAGACTCCGAGAATTTCTGGGCCTACTAAACTTCCATCGCTGCTTTCTTCCAAAGTGTGCCACATTCCTAAAGCCCTTGACCGACCTATTGGCTAAAAAGAAAGACCCGGCTGCGCCACTGGAGTGGACCGAGGACGCTGCATCTGCGTTCGACACCGCCAAGATGGCTCTGGCAGATGCCACCAAGTTCATACTTCCCGTCCCTGATGCCCCAATTCATCTCATCACCGATGCATCAAGCGTCGCAGTTGGTGCTGTTCTCGAGCAGCATGTATGCGGTTGGCAGCCCCTTTGTTTTTTCTCGCAAAAACTGAAGCCACTGGAAGCGAAATACAGTACATTTGCCCGAAAACTCCTCGCGGTATACTTTGCCATCAAACATTTTCGTCATTTATTGGAGGGCCGGGACTTTTACATCGTTACAGACCACAAGCCTCTGACGTTTGTCTTCCATCGCTATTACAGCAATTATACTGCACGGGAGGTCCGTCAACTATGCTTTATTTCCGAGTTTACTGTGGATCTCAGACACGTACAAGGGCAGGAAAATGCTGCTGCTAATGCACTATCCCGCATCGATGCCTTGTCGATCCAGCCACCACTAGACATAGAAGAGCTAGCAGCTGCCCAAAGCAACGATCCTGAGCTGCATCGTCTTCAATCTTCATCCATGTCTCTATCGTTCACTGAGTGCCCGCTTCCATTTTCTACCTCAATAATAACGTGCGAAATGTCTACTGGTGTCCCTCTGCCCTTCGTGCCTTCAGCTTTTTGTCGTGCAATTTTTGATCAATTGCACAACATGAGCCATCCTGGTATTCGTGCGACCCAGAAGCTAGTCACATCTCGTTTCCTTTGACTAAGCATCAATGCTGATGTCCGACGCATGGCGCGAACCTGCCTTGAGTGCCAGCGGGTTAAAGTTCACCGTCACACAGTCACGGCAACATCCCCCTTTCGGCCTCCAGACGCAAGGTTTTCTCACGTCCATCTCGACATCGTTGGCCCTCTTCCGTCATCGCAAGGAACCTGTTACCTGCTGACATGTGTGGATCCGAAGCTAGGCCGTTCTGTCATACCTCGTGGCTCGCGCCACACGGCTCGCTTCTTTTTCGGCGCGGCCACTAGCCAAATCTAGCGTGGCACTATAGGCCTATGCTTGTCATATCGCGAGTGCACGCTTGATAAGCCACAACAAATGAACAAGAAGGGACAGCGAGAAAAATAAAAGCAATCATACGTACACACAAGGTAATCTGGTTCAAAAGAGACAGCCCCTTGCTGGGTTCATGAATTGTTTTAAGAGCACAAGATGAGCCTAGAAACAAAAAAGGCATGACCATGGTGCCTGGGAAAGGCGGACAGATGAGATTAAGAAGACGGCAGGTACAATGTTTTGATGGGCAGATCATGAGCGAGAAGCTTTTGCCTTGCTGTGGGTCTAGTAAGGTGGACGATGACGATAATTTATCACCACTAACAAACAGATCCAAGAGAAAGTAAAGGCATGACCTCTCCATTTCAGTGTGGATTTTCTATCGTCACCTCAGCATAGAGGTGGAAAATCTTGGACACGGGGTATCGCTCTTACGAATGGTTTGACAGCTGGTCTTGTATTTTTTCAAGGCAGCAATTACAGGCGGAACACTGGCTCCAGCAACACTTCTTTGTTTGAGAACATTTTATCAGTTCCCTTGACCTTCTGTCTTGTTGGGATATCAGCATAGAAAAGCTCCGTAAACCAACCACCTACAGCCAGTGACAAAGGATGCGAATGTAACACAATACTCACGCCACAAGTTGCCTCTGCTGCTCGTCAAACTCTGGAGGCACTGTCACCACAGCAGGGTGCTCGTCGCTTCCTTGGCTTTCGGCGACCTCTGAAAGTAAGTAAAAGTGATATCAGTGGTCTTCATGCAAATTAGACAAACCGCTCAAAAGACGGGTTCAACATCTGCAATGCCAACTTCAGATTCACACTTTCATTACAGTGTTTCTAAAAGAATGGCATCATCCACAGGCTTTAGTGTAACATGTCATAAATTAGGAATGATGCTGATGACACAAAGTTTAGCCCAACAAGAACACCTCGGCATACAATCAATACACAACGCTAAGTATCCAAACTTCCACGCTTATCAAGTGTGCACCTTTTATATATGAAAGTCTTGTGGTAGAACTTATATTTAAGGGAAGCATGCCAGTACCACTTCAGTTGTTTCTCTCCTATGGCAAGGTAGGAAAAGCGCAGCCATATAAAGCCTGACAGCAATTCAGGCTTTTAAAATCTAATGTCAATGGTTACCCCCAAGTTGGAATCAAAATCTGTTCAACATACATGTCTAGTTGCGGAACGCTCAGATTTTTAATCTCAGAAGGCTATGTTGGCTCCCTGCTCTTTTAATCCTTAAATGAATTATTTATCCCCCCCCCCTCCCCCAGGAAAGTTGTAGCCACTCACCAAACATTTTGCGGAAGAGGTGGACCAGAACGTCACTGCACGAGTGACGGGTGCTGCGACCGTTGTCTGCAGAGGCCACCTCGTAGTAGACCCTGTCTCCCTCGGTCACTATCTGCAAAAGTGGCAACGATCAGGAGACGATGAGGGCTTCACTGATTAAAAACTTTAAGCAGAGAAGCATATCAAGCACAATACAAAACGAAGCCACCTGCACCAAAAAAAACACCATGCGATCATATCGAAATAAACCATTCCTCTACATCTGTGAAAACATGATCAATCAGTGCTTCACAATCAAAAAATAAAATATCGGAAGCCTCGCAAGTTGTAGGCAGCATGTCGTCAGAACTTTACATGCTGTCAAACAAAGAGGATTAAGGTGCTATTAACTTGTAATAAGAATGGCATTTAGAGCGTGGGAGACGCCCGCTACGCGCTAAGCGCATCCTGCAGGACTGAAATAAAGTTTTTTCATTCCATTCCATAAGAGCGATTTCTATGGTGCTATCATTTTGAATTTCACTGACTGATTGATTGATCAGTCAGTGAAGCTGGCTAACTGATGTGTCCCGGCGTCTAATGGTTACAATGCCTCAATTCTAGGCATAGCCAGTACATATGAAATAAAGCGTAAGCACTAGTGAGCAAAAATAACGGGTGAATTGACATTGACCAAAGTCCACCAGTTGTGGTTGTAATACTGTACATGCTGTAGTTATCCTGAGAAAAGCGCCAGCAATCAAAAACAACAATACTGGAATATTGTGAACATAGAACACAATGCCAGTTAAAAGTTAAAGGATACAGCCCCTTTACAGTGCAGTGATCGCCATATACAGTGCAAACCAGCGGAGTGAAACCATTTTCAATGCAAGCTGCTTTACTTTTGACACGCATTATTCGATACCTGGCTAATTCTACACACTCCCAACTGCACCACTTATGCCTCTTCCACTGAAGCATGAAATAAAGCGCGGTTACGTAAACATGCTTGTCCTAAAAAACTAATTGTGTAGACAGGAACCGACCTTGCATGGGCTGTCACTGGCAATCTTCTGCACCTCCTCGGGTGAGGTGGCAGCTATCAGGCACTTCAGGTTGCAGATGGTGCCACTCGGGTTGCGAGCCATCTCACTTTTGGCGGCGAGCCCCACCGACTGAAACGGAAAAGGCCCCACACAAAGGGGTGACAATGAAACGCTGGAACAAGGGATGCGCGCATAGTATACTTGAGGTTCGGAGCAAACGTCGGATAATTTCGAATCAAACAGTTTTAGTAGCATATGTCATATAATACTACATAAAAAAAAGAGCATTTTGTTCATGACCCAACTATAGTCACTGACAAGCTAAGTTTATTGGTATTATGCGTGTCCAACTACAACTGCGGCCGCTCTTTACGACGACATAACAGTCAGGATGAACCAATGACAAATTCAGCATGGCGCCGTTCGCGACAAGGGGTGATGTGCCGCTGCACTGAGACCGGCACGCATCAATTTTGGTTTTCCTGTGGCATTTTCTTCGTCAAGAAGAAGCTATTGCCAACTGTTATCTACTCGCACTCACCATCATCCTCACCAGTCGTCATTCCATGTAGACGTTTCTGATTTTGATCATTTGAAGTGCACCAAAGCGGCAGTGCTTTATGGCGTTCCGTCCTTCCGGCAGTGCGGCGTCTATTTTCTGCATCGCTCAGATGCACCAAGCATGTCACCTGAGGGTGACCATTCTTGACAATTGTAGTCACGGTCATTCGTGTGCAGTAAGGTGAAGGTGAAGTCTAAATGTGTGCATCTGTTATTTATTGCCTGCAAAAGCCACGGCATCAGCGTTGCCACGTATGCATGTGTGAGTGCGTTAATTGGTTGTCGGAACGTGGGAACCTTGGTGATCTCTTGCGATATACGCTGTGCTGTGCACCTGTATGAATGATGTGAGTGCAGACGAGGCGTGGGAAAAAAAATAGTCCCACAGGACAGGAAAGCAAGCAAGATTCAGCGGAGCCGCCGTTTTTTAGCAGACGACGCAGCCAGCACCCCCCCCCCCCCCAGCTGTCATTGCGCTAGCACACTAGTTGAGCGTTGGCCACACGGTGCAGTGTTTAAGGCAGAAGTGTACACCTCAGAACATTGCTTCTTCGTGGACTACGAGATGAGAGTGGTAGGGGGTGTGATTTAAACAACAGATATATTGCTAAGCTGATGCTGAACTCCTTGCCCTCGCAAGTTTTTTTTTTTTTTATTGAGCTTCGGTTTCCTTATCTCAATGTCAATGAAGTACTGCAATATAATGGTTGTATGCAGAAAAATTATTGCCATTGTTTGGGAACTACTTTCTTTGTAGTGTATAGGCATGGTAAGTAAGGACAATGCGGCCTTGTGGGTGGAACTTACCTTCATTGTTTGGTTGTTACACGCTATAGAACAATATCTTTAATTGAAACTAGACACACGCCTATGTCACTTTTTTATCAAGAGACTGCACAGTAAAAACGAAGACAAAGCATAGTAAGGACCAGCACACTACACGAGGCGTTTTGATTGGTACGTTGCTTGTTCTATGCTTTGTCTCCATTTCTATCACGCCCTTTCCCGATCAAAGATGTTCAACCAGCTAGCCAACAAGTTCTCCTTATCACTATTTTGGTTTGAAGAGAAGTGGTAACAAGTTTGACTAATGTCAGAATTTGAATAGTAATAGGGCTGCACTTATAAGTGATAAAACATCTTCATTTTCAATTTTGCTATACTAGCCTACATAAACCCTCATAACATGCCTTTAAGTTTAAAAATAGCTGTTAATCAAGGTGCAGACAATATGTACATTTTAAACTCAAAGTCAGGCTTAATTTCGCCTCGATATGTGGTTTCACGGCATAACGGCTCCACACTGCAGAGAAACTATCTTTTCTGGAGGGGGGGGGGGGGGTCACAAGAGGTCAAATATATGTCTATTGATTCGTTTATACTTCAAAATTTTGAATAATTTAGATACAGATAGAAGCGAGTTCCAAAATTCAAAGCGCTCAAATATTCTACCATGTCTCGCTGAAACATATCCAGGCATGCTGGCTGGTCTGCCAGCACTGCCAATGCATCAAACCCCCATGTGGAACGCACCGGTCATACCTACATGGGATAGACCGGAGACTGTGTGAATGAGATCGAAAGAGTGTTATACACAACAACTCTCAGTTGTGCATTACACTGTGCTTCAACAATGTTGACTCTATGCCTGTGTTTTTTTGGGTTTGCCGAATCTCATGTCAGAAGATTTAGTTCGGGCTTGAGAAATTTGCAAGCCCTTCAGTCACTGACTTATCCAGATGTCCTTTATTATTCCAGCACCTTTAAGGTATTGGTCCTATAACTTATTGCAAAAGGATAGAGAAGCATTGAACACATCACAGCAAAAATTTCATAAACTGAAGCGCCACCTAGGCGAGTGTGTGCTAACCTGACTATCAAGCATAAAATAAATGCAACAGTTTTGATTTAGATGTGTGGTCAAAGCTATTGGTCCGCCCATCCACACATGCTACTCATAGATAAACTCGATTCCCATTAGCTCGGGCTGCTGGAGATGATACCAGTAGCATACCTGGGCCAGATGTTATGTGCTATCCTTCATTGATTCAATAAAATGTTTTAACAATCCTATAATGAAGGACATATTTGAATTCAAGTTACATATGTATTGTAATCTCATTTTCCTGGTATACACTAGAAATGGCTTGCAAAGCTAAAAGCTGCCATAAACAGCTTGAATGAACCCAGGACATGTTGTACACGATAGTGCAGTAACAGTAAGCCTGTTAATGTGCACTCAAACCTCATTATAACAAAGTTGCATGACACACAAAAATAAATTTCATTATATTTCATTCTAAAGGTATATTCCTAACATTGTATCTATTGGTAGAGTGTTCTCTATTTACTTCAATATAACCAATACTTCATTATATCTGGGTTCATTATATCGAGGTTTGAGTGTAACAAGCTGAAGTTAACTCTGACACCTTCATGTGCAGTCAAACTCCGCTTCAGCAAAGGTTTTTTCCATTCCCCGCCCGCATCCTATAGGCTCTAACGTATTAGAACTTCCTCCACAACGAACCACTTTCACATTGTTCTCCCAGTTCAACAAAATTTTTCCGAGACACGAGTTACTCGCTGAGTAGTAATGAAAACTGGGCAAGTTGGTAACGATCCATTGTTGGCCGTGGGCACCGTTTACCTCAAACGAGTTACTCGACCCGCCACAAATCGAACCACGCTAACTAGTAAATAGAAGTGACAACACCTTTTGTCCTTATTAACGGCATGAAAAAAAAAAAAAGGTATACACGACAGCGGCTGTCTGCATTATTTTCTTTTTGTTCATGCTGCCTCCAGTAACGAATGCTTATTAGCTGGCCTGCATTCTGAGCATACATTTAGCATTTCCTTGGTTATCGGACGACTAAAATGATCGTAAACGCATCAAAGTTGACCTAAGACGACGTAGCCCGCCAAATGCTGAAAGACAATGACACTACGGGGGACACCATCGTTTGAGATTGATAATGATGCTCGGCAGGATTTCGTGAAGCATAGAGTTATGTCGTGAACGTTTGCGAGCTTGGCCAGCCGAATCCACACATTGGATATTGGCTGCTAGCTTGTCCCTCCCCCCCCTTTTTTTACGTGTTTTGTGGCGTTAGCAGTACTAGTCCTCAAGTGTCCCCACCTCATTCCTTGTCTCATTAGCTCAGTATATCAGTAGTCCAGCACCTTGTTAGCTCTGACCTGCGTATCTTTTTTTTCCCCGATTGAGGCAGCGATGGCTTATGACAGCGCCCCAGAGTAAGAAACTGAGCACATTTTCCCAACAAAAAACGACGACCCAGCCAGACCATGAGGAACTTGGCAAGGCAGTGTATGCTTTGTTTTCCAAAACAATGACTAAGAAGACACCGGTCAGTGGTAGCCTGATTCAGTAGAAAGCACCGAACTACGCCTGCATTTTATGCATTAACGAGAACTTTAAGGCAAGTGCCGTGTGGCTCAATCGATTTAAGGAGTGCCATGAGATCGTCGGGAAGGTGCTGTGTGGAAAGTCCGCTTCTGCAGACTGCAACAGTGCAGCATTGTGCATCGCGTCGAACGCTACTGGCATCGTCGGGAAGTACGCCGTGTCCGACTAGAATGCGAACGAGGCCAGGCTCTTCTGTTAAATGCTACCGCAAAAGTCGCTCGACTTAAAAGGCAAACAGTGCCACAGAGGCAAGCAGAGCAAAAGGTGAGTCGCAGTGTTGCTCTGTGCAAATATGGAAGGGTTCAACAAACGGCTCCTTCTCGTTATCAGCAAGAGCACCAAACCACAGTGCTTCAGGGGCACGAAAAACCTACCGGTGAAGTACATTACTAACGAGGGCCACTTTCCCCCAACTGGATCGCTGCATTCGACCACGACATGAAAAAGCAAGACTGCAGTGTTTGCTTGCTGCTAGATTGTTCAGCACATTGCCTGGACAGCAACGTCAAGCTGAAAAACGTTGGAGTGAAGCTTTTTTCTGCCAGACTGCACGTTGCCAATTCAACCTTTAGATCAAGGCGTCATCAACAGCTTAAAGCACGCTTACCAATCAATGCTTCTTCAGCGAATTCTGATGGCTGCGACACCAAAGTCTACTTGTTCATGGCTGTGCAAATGTTGGCCGCCGCATGAATGTCGACACAGCGTGATGTCGTCAAAAACTGTTTTGCGCATGCAGGGTTTTGGCCTGAAGAGGTGAACTTAGCCTGCCCAAGTGACGACGTACGAGGTGCCAACGACATTGGACAGGGGCAAGACGTGAAAACTGCCACAGCATGGGCAGCTCTCGAGGATGCCGGCATTGCACCCAAGAGCATTGTTCTTAGCGAGTATGTTAATTCCATCGCGGACGTGATCGTGTACAAGGAGCTGAGTGATGCAGAGATCCTCAGGAGTGCTCACGTGGCTACCGCTGCTGTCATTTCATTGGACGACGACGAAGCCGCGCATGATGTTCCAGCAGTGCCGACACCAGTGACCGCGCCGCAGGTCATGGACTCCTTGAACATTCTGCATCACTTCCTTGGCGCCCCATGACGACGATGTCACCATGCAGTTCCTCACAGAATGCGAGCAGTGCATTCTGCCGTTGCTCGTGCGCAAGTAGTTGAAAATAAGTGATCTTTTAATGTTTTGGAAATAAACTGCTTCCTTAAGTGTGGTACATATCGGCTTCACTTTAATTACCACTTTTTCCGTGATAACAAAATTCCCACTACTACCAAATTTTTCACAATTCTCGTGAATTTCGTTGTAGCGAAGTTTAACTGTACGTGCATTTCATGCAACACACTCCTAAAGCCACAGTCCTTTTCAGAACTGTATCAGTGTTTGTGTAAGAGGTAAGAATTGCCACACCATGCAAAAAAAAAGTCAATCTGACCCACCTTCTCTCCATTTGAGAATGCAATGACAGCAGGGGTGACACGATCACCAGAGTCATTGGTGACAGCTTCAGTGTTCCCATCCTGCAAAAGAAAGATAGAAAGTTTACATGTAAAGTTCATGTAGACACACAATAGCTCAATGATTCTCGAATGGGGTCTAGGTCCGTGGAGAACGATTTAAATTAAATCCATGTGACTACACTGCTTTGTATTTACCCACCTTCCCCAACCTTCTCTTAGTGCATGGGGTTCCTTGCCTATTTCACTATAAATTCATGGCTGAGAAAGACTGCCCTAGACAATTCATCTAGAATTACTTAGAAGTTTACATTTCACTTCGGCTGATAGCTATGACCGACAGTTTATGCTGTTGGAGCTACTTAGTCACAGATAAAAGGCTGATAGGTGTCAATGTTTTCTGACTTTTGCACACACCTGATAGTGGGCATGGTGCAAGCCTAAGCATGTATTGAGCATAGCATGGGCTAAGCCTTAATCACTAAGCCTGAAAATGAATACTGAGGTCATGCAGAGGAGTTGTGCTGATTGTCGCCAATGGGGGTCGGTGCATCACTCTTGCCAAGCAAGAATAGGAGTTTTGTTTATCACTTCAGTATCAAAAATATTCATCTTTACTAGCTTTCTGTGACGTGATAACTAAGATTGTTGACTTGAAAATACCTCACACATGTCCTCTATATTTACATTGCATGACTTACTACTTGTTGTTTCTGATTAATAAGATGCAGAAAGAGAAGTCATCTAAAGCACTGCACGAGCCTTTTAATCTTGAAAGTGCACAAGCGAGTTAGAATGTTTGCCGTAGTGGAAGCCTCAAAATGAAACTCGACCAGCTGGTCTTTCAACATGCACTGATACAATGATGATAATAGGCACTCAGGAATGCAGTTTGCTTGTACACATTGCGCCGCCTAGCAGCGGCGATTAGAACCCACAGGTCGGCCCTTCGCGGCATTTCACTGCTGTGCGCATTGCGAACAGGCGGAACAACATAGCAGCGCGCCGTTTTTCAATAGATTTACCGCAGCCTGTTAACAACTCCATTGTCAGAGGTGAAAAAAAAGAACGCAGATACCACAACAAAGAAGGGAAAGTCGGCTTCATAATGTATCGCTTCCCATCGAGACCGTGGGAAGCAACTGGGCGGCAGAAGTGGATCGTCGCTGTTCGGCGCGTCATGCAAGTGTTGCCCTTGCGAATTTTTTTTTTTAACGACATCAGAGCAAAAACAATAACGGGAAGCATTCGTGTAACGCACGACAACATTAAAACTGCTCACAAGGGTGTGTTAAAACACACACAGTGGTTGTCACTCGTGAAACATAACGTTGTAAGAGCTTGGACACACGGCGCATTTTTCCACGCATTAATTTGTCAACGTGCCTTGCCGCTCCTTTGTGCACCAGGACGATGGCTGGACTGCTGAAACGGGCTCATTAATGCCGAGGCTTTCTCGCGCTTAGTACGACAGAAATAAGGCTGGATTGCACCAAGTAACACGTAGAGTATTCGCAAATTACCCCTTCTCTCACGCACACGTTTCATTTTCCTGTTAATGTCAGCTAATTGCTTTATCACTTGTCACGTATTCGGATATTTGCCTTTCGCTTGCTCACCCTTGCACACGTTTTGCTTTTGCATTATTGAGTGTCAGCTGATTGCGCTCAATTCAATGTTTCAGCTCCGATGACCTTTCATCTTGGATGCCTAACGAAAATACCAGGATATGCTTGAGACATTTCGACAACAGTGAAACAGCACCATCCAGAATCATCCTGGTAAACTTCTGAGAGTATTTCTTCCTGTATACAAGAGGTGGTCGACAGCTCCTGCCCAACAGCTTTCAAGGTTTTCGAGTAATAAAACTACAAGTGACAGCTGATAGAGAAACATATACAGTCGTATTTGTGCGCTTAGGTGGAATTCAACGTCGTAAGCATGCTTGCTTTGCTGTGACAAGAACTTCGCTGCGATGTCTGCGTTCACTTCTTTAGCACTATACTTATGGTCGTTGTCATACAGTGCGCGTCCCTTTTTAGGCGTTGGTGGTCAAAAATGGGCATGGATGTTTTCAATCGTCTTAAAAACCGCAATCCAAGACCACCGACGTGCCTCAAACAGCACAATAGACTTACGTCATGAGCAGTATAAATGGCTCCTTGACCGCCTCGACGCTTCGCGGAATCGTCACCATGGCGCTGATGGCTGGGCCGATCGCTGCCCGCCTAACCATCGTCGGTTGCCCATACATGGAGTTTTACATTCGAAAACTACGACATGATCCCAAGAGATGCCTTGGTACAGCGCTCGAGAAATTTTGACCATCTGGCATTCTTTAGCGTGCACTGACATCACACAGTATATAGCCCTCCGTCCCTTCACCCTTGTCGAAATGTGACAGCCATGGCCAAGATTGAATCTGCGGCTTTCGGGTCAGACGATTAGCACTATGTCCATGACGGATTGCATCGGAGAAACTATTTCTCAACCTCTGCATCAATAACATTGATGTTTGCAGGCACCTGTTCGAGCGTCGTGTTTGGATAGCTCGCACAATGTCAACTTTACCTAACGCTGTTACTACTTGTGTGCCAGTTCTTTTCTCAGTTCTACTGAACGAGAACGTGACAGAGAGAGAGATGGAGATTACTCAGGTGTGATTAAATACGTGATACTTCACCATGCTCCCATGTGATCTCAACAATACTTTTTTTTGTTCTGTCAAAGAGCATTATTCACTGCCTTTGACGCAACGCTGTACATGTGTCTGATACTTCCTTCTATGCAAGAACCAGTGCGAACAATATAATGCAATGTAAACATCGATGTGTAATGCGAACTCTATGAACACGGTAATGGCGCTTATATCCCAACTTGTCCTAAGCTGGCACTCGTACCATTAAAAACGAACATTTAGGTAATTCATATGAGAATGACCAGCGGTCATTTATGAACAGCACACCAATTCGACATCGCCTTATGAATATGAAAGCAGCGAGATAAGCAGCGCAACATGTTTGTCAAAGCGTGCATTTAGGGTAAACTCTAAACTTTAGCGAAAGCTCTAAACTCGTCCGCGCGTCCATTAGGTCCCGAACAATGGGCCTCGTTTGCGAGATAAACCGCGTTTCCAGGTGCGTCTATCAGTCCGACGCCGCGAGTGTGACCGATTACGAGCAACCTACACGTTAATAGCGGGCGTGAAACATGTGCGACAGCACGACAGACCAATCGCAACGTAAGGATCGGAGGGATAACTCCACCTTAAAACACCTTATAGACGACGCACACGGCGCAAAGAACAACGTTAATCGATTCGAACTGTTTCGATACCACAACGCAAACGTGCTCGCGCGATATCCGCGACACAGTGTGCGCAAAGCTGCTGCAATATCCACCGTACAAGCAGCCGCGTGAAGTCGCAGCGACAGCGCAGTGCGATTTCAGCGCGCAGTGAAATTCACGCGTGCACGGTTGCGCACTGTCTGTCGCCGCGATAATGCGAGAGCAAGGCGATACGTGACGGCGCTGCGACAATCACGAAGCTCCGTCGAGTGCGCAACAACCGATCTCGCGATGGGATAGCGCTCGCACTTTATTCGGGGAAAGCCGGCAGTCGGCGACCCCGTGTCGAAGTGACAGCAGCGGGCGAAACACACGCGGTGGCGAAACGCAACGTGCTCGACACTGGCAGGCGCCAGTTTGGAACGGCGGGCGCGACGCCGACTCGTGTTTCGCGGCTTCGTTCGAAGCTCGGGTGAGTTAATAACGTCTCGCCGGGGAACTCGGAGCGCCGGCGCGCGTACTTACCTTGTGAATCGCGAGGCAAAGGTTCGTGTTGCCGAAATACAGCCCGAACGAGGCCGCCATGCTTGCGATTCAAAGATACGCTCGCTGCGGCGCTGAGCGGCATAATATAACAAGCGTAATACACAAAAATACTGCAAAACTTTACCATTTCTATAAAAGTTAAAGTGAAATTTTTTAAATATAAAACAAATACATGTTTTGAAAATAATAAAAAGTTCAAAACAAAAAAAATATTGCAAAACAATACACAATATATGAAATGCTACTTTGAATTAAAAGTTTCGCGCAAAAACTTTGTGTTTTTGTGAATTTTATGTTTTTCTTTATCGGTAAAAACAGTGCGTTAGCGCTTTTACGAGGGTAAGATGAAGTACCACTTCTAATGTGAGAGCATTGTTTTTATTTTCGAAATTTCTGCGTCTGTACAGGCCTGCGCGTGATCACCTCTTACGTCGTAACACGTCACGAGAGCCGGCCAATCGCGCGAAGACAGATGTCCAAAGCTTCGACACCGGCCCACAGTAGGTGGCGCCTTCGAAATTTCTCGAAGACGTGTCGTATTTTCATTCAAAGAAGTTGGACGAGGGGAGTTGTTGGCTTGATCCAGCGCGTGCGAGACACGTCGCTTTACGGCTTTGCCTAGTAAGTCGTCGCGCATTGAGGTAGATCAATTGTGCAAGTGTCGTCGTCGTCATCATTTGGCCAGCGGCGTCGAGAGAGGGTTCCTTGCGGCGAGACGCGGACGCAGAAAAAGACCTGCGATGCGACGATTCAGCGGTGAAATGCCTGCGCTCTTGCTGATCCTCGCGGTGTGCCTGCAATCGCCGTTCATTGTCTCCGGCAAATCCTTGAAGGAAGGTGAATGCGAGGGTGAGTCGTCATGAAGTGAGATTTTTTGTAGCGTGTGCTATCGCTCCCATCTTCGTGATCATATATGTATGTCTCACCTGTGGGGCCGTGGGTGGCGCACAGTAAATACAGCTCGTGTAGTCAAGTCTGCCCTGCCGGATTCAATATATGCTGTAACAGGGGTAGGTACGCATTCGGGACACGTCTAATCAAGACATCGTAATTCACAAATGGCAGAAGGGAGTTGTCGGTAGCAAACTTTAAAATAGCTACCAATATAAGAATAAGAACCTGCAAAAATGTCTGAGGTAATAGTGGCAGTCTTGGTAGCATTGTCAATTCGCATGAAGATGTTGATACCACAGTTCGAAAGGAGATACCAGGAAAAAAAAGTATCATAAACCTGCAAAGATCTGTGCTGTAGCATTGTCATTCCATATGACTAGGTTGGTACTGCAGCTAATTCAGGTTGGAGATTTCCAGAAACTGATCTTCAATGCTTGAATATTGTTGATAATAATGCTTGAAAATTGTTCACCGTGATAATATGCTTGATCATGCTTAGTCAAGTTCATTCACGGTGCAAAAGACTGCAAAAAGTGGGGACGGCCGCAGGGCAGTTACTGCTGCGGCTCTCTTGACTGCTTTTTGCTTACATGTTGCGGTTCGTTCTTATGCTTTCTTGATAGTTATTGTCATCAATCATATCTAGATTGGTTCGGGACTCTGAAATTCCCCAGAAATGTGGTACTGCACAAGTACGAAGATGTGACATGGTTCTTATGTGGATCATGCTGTTTCAGTTATGCTCAGGGGAAACTGCGAATTGTGGTCAGGTGTAGGCATTTTCACTAATTGCTTTTTGTTCTAGGTATTTTAAGAGTGACTCAATGATGTACTACTGCAGTTAATGGTATGCCAAGCCTGAACCACATGGCCAACTTTTTTGACAAATGTTCACGCTTGCTTCACCTATAGGCTTGCTCTTTGTGTGACTGATTTTAAATGAAAGGAAAAGTGAGCCCCGTAACAGTCTCTCAGGGGGAGGACACCTCAACAGTAGCTCACAAGGGGCGGGGGTTAAGGTAATGAGATAGAGAGATGAAGGAAAGAGCGAGGTGCAGGGACAGCAAACGACAGAAAACAACAGAAGTAAAGAGGAGATAGGAAAGATGGACACGGCCGCAGGAGTCCATGGACGAGGCACCACTCGGCGAGAGCTGTTGTTGGCGTCAGGAGATGGCGTAGGGCGAGCCCAGTCTGCCAGAGCTGCGCTGCCGTCGGAGATCGCGGGGGCACAACCGGTCAGCACAAAATCCAGAGAGCGAGTCCAGGCTTGCTCTTTGTGGTGTATTAGGGCACCTAGGTGACAGTTCCTGAAGAGACCAGAAGACCATCTGATTGTGGTCTCCGGCATCTGGAATATGCAGGGATGCAGAAGCATTGTGGCACTACATGATGCACCTTGAACAATGTGACAGCTTGTGCAGAGGGCAAATGTCTCTCTCCTTCCTAATTAGTCTTCTTTCCTAATAGAGGGTGCTCAGCTTGGCTCTGCCTTTAACTTTTCTCTAATATCCAATTTGTGCAGCAAACTAGTGTTATAGACTCGTTCTGAGTGCTTTTCAAAACCAACTGATTGCATCGCTTGGCTCTGCAGTGTGCGTGGGTGTTCTCAAGAAGCTGCACAATCGGCTTGAAGTGGAAGAGAGGACCAACGAGGACTCCATCACAGCGGGATTCATGGAATTCTGCAAGGAGTCTAAAGGACCAGAGCATCGCTTTGTAAGTAGTGACATCATTCTTTCTTTAATTGTTTTGCCGAGAGCCATCCGTGATTTGTCGAGGCAAGTACCAATACATTCTTCGTTCTTGACTGCTAAATGCTGGCATTCAGGTTCGCCCTCCGTACAGACTACCACACACGATTGTGTGTCTCTGCTGACATTCTGTCACCTGTTTCACCATAAATGCCCTCACTTGACTAGGCATTGTTTCAATGAATCCTCGATTACATCAGTATGCCATTGTTTCATTGGTATTTTCTCAAATCTACTAGTCTTGAAAGCTCCGCTGTGGGCAAGCAACCTCAATGCATAGTTGAAACATAACTTTATTGTAAACTGGTCAGAGAGGCAAACAGGAATGAATAAGCTGTTCTCATATTACAATTGAATCTTTAGCCAGGTCACATCAAAACACAATTTGCTTATTCTTTTGTATGCTGCCCCGTTATTACACTGGTTAGCTTCTGTGTGTGTAGAGCATTCACGACACAGTGCCTCTGCTGTTTGAAATGAATCTTCGATGACGTGCGAGTAAAAGATTGTCATTACATGAAGATTGCTGCGAACAGTAGTAGATTAGGACACTAAAGGCAAATATGATGTTGATTGCTGAAATAGTGGTCCAGAAACTTCGTAGTGCTACTTTTGTGCCAAGGAAGTCCTTATCTTCAAATAAAATAGCATTTTGTGGTCTGCATCGCGTTAGCGCACTTGAAATTTCTTGCCTAAAAGCAGGCCATCTTGCGTCACTGTTGCCGTGCACAACGTTGCGGGGCTTTATGTGCGGCCACTGGCACTATTAGTCGCAGAGCGCAAGTAACGGAGCCACAGCAGCAACAATGGCCATTGAACAATTTTCTGCCATCTCGGAGGCCATGGTTCTGCTTGCTCGCTTCAACCAGGCTTCGCTAGATGGCACAACCTATCCAGCCTAATCGGAGAAAAAGGAATATTTGAAGCACTGGTGCGGTTCCCCATAGTAACGCTAGGAGGTTCTTACTTCTATAAATCAAGCAGGTTCCTCTTTTTTTGTTGTACCTAGTTTTAGTTCTAGTGATTAATTGCAGTCGGACGCATTTCATCGGGATCATTTCCAAACTATACTATTCGTGGGGCCTATCGTGTGGTACATTTAGCGTAATTTCTCGGTAAGTAGGGCACAGCTGTTGAAAATACTGTTTTAGATGTCACACTTTGAGCTTTCACTCCGACATAAATTATTTGCCTTTAGTGTCCTTTTATATGAAACTGCCACTTGGAATAGCAACCGGTATTGTAGCTGGTTTTCCATTAGGCCAATGCAAAAAAAAAATAAACCAGCATTAGTAATAAATGCATTTCTAATATCTTTGTCTAAAGAAATGTGCTGGTGATGTTGCAGCATTTGAAGATGCACAATTTTCAAAAGATTTGTTATGGGTCATGAGCTAAAAATTTTTCACTGTCTATTTTCTTTGGAGAAGGGCCTGCTTAAAGGGCAATTAAAGTGACTCGAGTCAGGAAGGATGGCATATTTTTAATGCATATGCTCCGTCACTACCTGATCTTAGATTACACAGTATTTTTTTGCTGGCACTTAACATTTCTGAAACAAATGTTCTACATAGTATGACACACAGTGACTCGCATCTCTCTCGGCAAATGGAACATGCCTTGAATTTCACTTTTACTTCACAAGATCATACTGCAGTGCGTTCTTACTAGAAAGGCCGTTTTTGTGTATGTTTCAATGCCAGACGCCAGCCTGTTTAATGCATTGTCTTTAATAGTTTTATTTTTATTCGTTGTTAACTCAATAATAACAATATTAAGTTGAATGACAATGCCCATCATCAGAAGTGCTTTTTTTTGGGCACATGTCAAATTTCTGTCACGGTCTACTGCATGCAAGCAGTAAAGAAATTTGAAGAACAATGCTGGAATGTTTTTATCAAGTAATGCAAAGGAGACTGGCAAGAAATGTATTGGGCATACTCTAACCCAAACAGTGTAGTTGAGTGGCTGCGGCTCGACTCTGCTTAGCCAAGTCGACGCAAGTTTGATCTTGCCTACCTTTCGCTAGCTTGAACATTGAAAGCATTTCTTTTTGTAAATTTAAGGGCACATTGATGTACAATAGGTGGCCAGAACGAAATCGGGGGCTCCAGCAAATTAAAATGTCCTTCATCACTTCTTTCTTTATAAGTTCTGTACACAAAGTTTACCTTTGTTAAAGAGTTGGGATCAGGCAAGTAGTTCCTGTTTGTTATGTGGTCTGTGGGGAAGGTTGCGTGAGATAATCTTATCTTTTAAATGTGTAGCTTCTGTCTTTGGAAATTGCATGCAGAAGGTTTTGAGCCTTCTCTCTATGCAATGTCAAAGTTCTCGAACTGGTGGACAAATAAAGTTTGCAAAAAAAGAAATAAGCTGAGAATTATGTTTTATTCTTTACCTTTCAGTGCTACTATGTGGGTGGCCTTGAAGAGTCTGCTACACGTATTGTGGGTGAGATGGCCAAGCCCTTCAGCTGGGGCATGCCCCACTTGAAGGTGTGCGAGAAGCTGCTGGCCAAGGATGCCCAGATCTGCGACCTCAAGTACCGTGAGTGTCCATTTGTTTTGGTCTACCTTGTGGCCTTTTGTACTTGTCTCCATCATGCATCAAATAATTTTTTTAGTTGAAAATTTCACAATGCTGTGCTGCCAGCACTTCCTTATAGGAGTAGAACTTGGAAGCAATCGAGTTGTCCGGAAACCAGCGGAAAAGAAAAAGTATAGGGTTACAAAATGTCTTTCATTTGCACTGTACTGTGCAATCATAGCAGAGGTTTCCATCAGTTTAATTTAGTTCACCACTTTTTGCTGAGTAAACAAAACATCAATTTAATGCTATCAGCCACTTCTTCGTTATTCTTTTTAAGTTGCATTGAAAGATTGTTGGCGAGTGTAAAGGCATTGAGTTTGAGCTGTGGGTTCTTTCGTACACAGCAGACAATGCTTCAAAAGCAACGAATGGCCCAGTCATAAAGTATTGCGTTCCAGGTATTTTCTTGTGCAGTTGTTTTTGACAGCAGAACTTCGTAGGGAATAACCATAGCGCATGTTACCAATGCAGTTCGTGGATGCGAGTCTTGCACTGATCGATAGCATTTTGTTCTCCTCCTACAGCAAAGGTTATCGACTTGAAGACTGTGGACCTGAAGAAGCTCAAGGTCAAGGACCTGAAGAAGATCCTCAACGACTGGGACGAGCGGTGCGAAGGCTGTGTCGAGAAGACGGATTTTGTCAGGAGAATAGAGGAGCTCAAGAAGGTTCACATGCGCGAAGAACTTTGACCTCCACGCAACGTGTCTTGTCTCACTGTACAAATGGACCACCACAATGGCTGCCACTGCAAGACAATTCACTCTCTCTGGTCACCGATCCTTTTGCCCCCCTCCTTTTTGTTGTTGTTATTGTTTGCAAGGCAGTGGTTACATTTTCGGGGAAAGGGTGGGTAGCATTCTAATTTATCAACTTTTTACACTGCTTCTATGTACAGGGCATTGAGTAAAGGACTCCCATTTTTTTTTCTTTTCATGCGTGTACGCACAGGAAGTCATATTTTCGTTCCTTCACACATGAAACTCTGTGCGCTCATTGTACTGTTCGAAGTGGCCTGGAATGAAGCCCTCATGTTGTGATGACTACGTTCTGGGTGGACAGCATTGGGACTAAAAATGGAAACTTATTCATTGGCAAGCAAAATTAAAACTCTTTGTGCGTTCTCTTGGCTTGTGCTTGTGGTTATTGTGGCACTCTATGCGCCGTACTGATGGGCTCGAAGGTTCTGCGTTTGCAATGGTGGCGGAGCTGCACTACTGTGCTGCAATTCTACAATGAAATTCCAAGTGTGCGCCCCCTACTGTGAAGCATAGCACCTTCAGCGGCAGAGGCTGCATGTGTGTATGCAATTTATTTATGCTAGCTGTGCCAACTTGTAGCCAAAAGAGAACAAAATACATAGTTTATTAGATGAATGGAACTTTTTGCATAGTCGAAATTACGTCACCTTGGTCTGTTGCATAGGGACTGTGGCGATTCTTTTGGCGAAAGCAAAATTATGTTCAGTGGATTGTTCGACGTGCCGGGTTCTGGAACTAACGTAAAGTATCTCTCTCCTTTTCTCAAAATTTATGCAGCAAAAACTAATTGCGCACTCATCAGGAGAATATGATTTCATTTTTTTACATAAAAATTTCAGTATTATTAACATGAAAATTACAATTAATTGTCGAAACTGCACTTTACTTCATTATCTTTGTGGGGATGCTATATTGAGGGGGTTGAAATTGTGTTATGCAAAAATGACACATTCGCTGACAGTGCATCACAATTCACACCTGAAGGGGATAATTGGAAGAGATTGCAAGGGGGGGGGGGAACATTGCTAGGTAAAGGATCAATATTCAAGGGGATGGTGAAAGAGCTGACAATAATGAATGCATACCCGTGCTTCTAAAGAAATGCTTTGAATACACATGCACTCGCAGTTTTCATTCGCTGCCCACATAGGGGGAACTCTAGCATTGAATAACAAGGAAAATGGTAAGAGAGTAGAAGCAGCTGCCTTTTTGATATCTCGTGAAGAATGGAGGGGTGTGCTTGCTCCGAATTTTACAATGCTTGTCCTTTCTGTTACATAGATTGAGGTTTTCATATCGACCGTACCTCTTTGGCCGAGTCGGTGCAGATACTTTACTAACTGCGGTATATTCTTCCGTGAACGGGCATAATATTGAAGCAAATCTGTTTCTCTCCTTATTGATGGATGTACTGTAAGTACCTGCTGGTGTCTCATCTCGCATGTCGTGGCAGGAGACTGTGCTAGTAGAATTGTGTGAATAGTGAATTTTAGGTGCAAAGCGAATAGGCATTTTGGTTGAAAAATTTAGAATCAAAGTCTAATAGTATGTCGCATATAAAAAAAATGGCATATTTGTCATGACCCTACTAGCCAGCACAATATTTCTTCAAGAATGGAAACTAAGCCCGTGTAAATGCCATTCTTTTCCGTTCAAAGGAAGTAGAAACAACTTTGAATAGTAGCTGGATTTTGAGTAAGATAGGAGTGATAACTTGTAAGTTATGTTGCATTTTAAAATTTACTAGGAGCATAAAGTAAGAAGGGGGAGAGGGATGCGAAAGCTTTTAAACAAAAAAAGAAAATATGGATTGCTGGGGGGGGGGGAGGGGGTGATATCTTGGTTTCATCTGAGGTCAGACATTGCAGCTGAGCAGATTTGCCCTAGATAGGCGTTTTCACAGCTTATCAACCCTTCACAGCAGTGAAACCACCTTTAAACGCGGTTACATGCAGAGTAATATACATTTTAATAGGTGTTTCCACGGCTTAGCACCCCTCCAATGATTTGCAACAACCTTTACAGAGCTACATGCAAATTAATAACATTGATTTGTTATATTTTGAATAGTTAAACTTTTCAACAGTTTAAATTCTACTCAAAGCGGTTTCAAGTACCGTAACAATTGTTCTAACTTTTGAAGCATTTCGTTATTTGCACAAGCCTATGTGCTAGTGCTGGGCACTCCAAAAAAGTGCCATCAGGCTAGACTCTGCAAGAACTTTTCCTTGAAGCAGTGAAATCTACAGAACTGACATGCTTGTGCATGGGCCTGGAAACAGTACCCCCTTTTCTTTTTCAGTTTTCAGTTACCCAGCTCGAATAAATGAAGGTTTTATCATAAAATAAAACTATACTAAACTGTGGACAGATACAAAATGGTTGTAGACTGTTTCTTGAAGTCAATAGTCTTTCTTGGGGTACTTGAACACAAAAATTTTGGTCTGTTTGTGACAAAATTCAGCCACCTGGCCAAATTTTGAGCACTTGCTTAACGCACAGCCACCTTTCACTTGTGGCTGCTTTTATACTTGTGAACATTGTCGATTAAAAAGAAATATTACGCACGTCTGAGGCACAACATTGATACGTAAGTATTTGATAGTGTGTTTCTTTACTGAAAAATACATAGATGCGTAATTCTAAAGACTCTGGTGTTTCTTACACTGTGCTCAAAATGTGACGCTATGCACGTAAAAGAGCTCTGCCGACGATAAAGTGCTGCTACCTGGCAGTGGCCTTGGCTTCTGCACAAGCTCAAATTTCCCGATGGCACTGCCAGATGCCGTCCGTATCTCAGGCATTGCCTCCTCCATTTTATCAATGCCAGCCAGATGCGTCTGATTTTACATAGAGAAGATTCTGTCACTTCACGGGAGACCGCGGACGAGACCAGGACTCGTGTGGTACTGCTGCACGACTTTTGCTGCGAAGCTTGTAGATACGTGACAAATTTTTAAATGCAGAACATTTCGTAGTCACGCGGTGTCTCGATGTCGTCCGTCCGTGACACGGACGGTAGCACGGACAGATGGACTCGTGGAAATATAGGCAGACACACAAACGAATGCCCCACTCATCATCATTCACTTTGTGGGTGTGCTGTAAAAACCAATAACGCCAGCTAGTTACATTATTCTCAAGGACATGCACACACAACGCCACTATTGAGCAACTCATAAACTGGAGGTGGCTACGTACTACTACTATGACTCCAGAGGAGGGAACAACCCACGATGACCTAAGGAGCTTCGCCCCTAAAATCCATGATATGGTTAAACGGGTGGGGGGTGGGGGTTGTGTTGTTTTGCTTTTGCTGACAGAGGGAGGGAGGCTTCTAAAGATATCAACAACTCATTTACGACAGGTGTTGAAAACCTAAAATGAACCAAAAGAGTTGATATTCAAAAGTAGTGGCAGCACACATAGTATCTTGATGGTAACACAGAAAATCTCTTGAAAGTCATTAGCAGTGTGGCTGTAATCTCATGAAATTGCTCCAGAGTACTTATTCAGGTGTTCCAAACTTCTACAAATTAAACATCTTTATATGAGCTGAAAATGGCTCCAAATCTCACGTCTTCAGTGGCACCACTCTGTCTAGAGACGCTGTCGGAAATCGCGAGAAATTTTTCGCTTCATTTCAAGCTGTAGCCTTGCGCTTTGTCAAGGTCATCTTTGACAAACACATTTTTAGCTTATAACACGAGTTTCGCTCAGTTACATCCTGAATATCATGCTAAAAACAATTGCCAAGCTTTGCGCTGTAGTGAATTAGAACATGCATATATGCTCTAGTTCGTTATAGTTCATCTCCTACAGCCTTAATACCTTTTGACAGAGTCTTGAAGTCTCAATACCTTGAGGTCACGGACGTATAGAGTTTGCTGGTGCAGGTTTTGCAAATGGAAGCAGCTTAGTGAAAACGTTCATTGTGCTGGTTACCTGTGCTGTAGTGCGAGCGACTCACTCAGATCTTGTCGGTGACATGACTGTGATGTCTTTTTTTTATCAGCCTTTGGTCATTTTACATCATTATTTTATTTTACGTCATTTTTTGCAAATATCACTTATTCTGATAATGATGTTACATTAGAGGCAGCCAGTTGTGAACTTAACCTGTGATATGTACGTCCGCGTACTAGTACAAAAGTAGTACCTGTACCGTGCAGTGCAGTACTAGTACAGAACTTTTGTTCGTCGAGTTATATCCCGTGGAAGTTCATTGCTGAGCATGCTTCCATTCATTGTCGAGACTGATAAATTTCAGGCCACTGACATACACATATGGGGACACTGTCAAAGCTCAAGTACTTATTCTTTCACATATTTGTCAGGTAGACGGCTCACAGGCCTTTCGCGGGCACAAGTGAGCAATAACTCGCCGCACAGAGACGTTGCGCACATGGAGACAACAGAAACTATATAGCTTTTGGCAATGCTGGTATAAAAAATACAGAGCCACACTAAACAGCAGCAAGTCAGAGAAGCGTGGTAATAGTATAGAGTACGGTGACCTTGTCGTTGTTAGAGCGAACAAACAGCAAATTACGTTTTGAAAATTAGCTAGAGTTTTTGAAACGTTCAAGGGTAACGACAGAGCATGCATAGTCAAACTACCAGATGGCACAAAACGAAAAAGACCAGTTCAACTTATTTGTCCTCTAGAACTAGTGACATTTTTGGCCTCGGAGGACTATAGAAATGGTGCTCGCGCTGCGCATAGAAGACGACGAGAAAGGGATCAAGGGCACCAGCAATATATGCGGGAAATTAATCATTACTCATAATAGTAAAGATATCCTTTTCCTTGGGTCTTCTTCCCTGGGCCACAATACAGGAACGTCTGAGTAGCCGTTTGATAATTTCTTAGAGACACAAGAAGGCTTACTTTTTAGGTAATCTCTAATGAAATTCTAGTTCTTTGGAATTTACGTTTATTTATTCATTTTAAATAATACATCTGCACCAACTTAATTCGTACGTAACCTTATAACTGTCTAACTTTACGTTTTCTATAGATGACTGAATAATTATTTTTCCATCATGAAAGATTCTAATAATTTTTTCATAATATTTAATTGCTGGTTTAATGGCCCGTCCCTCATAGTGGGTATGAGCCACAACATAGGTTCAAGCAAGCAAACAAGCAAGTAGAATATAGATGGTATCATTGTCATCGATCAATTCTCCACGTTGCGACGACTTAGAGTTCTGCTCCAATAAACACGACACTGTCTTTTTCCCACGTCGTATTTTTAAAGTGTTCTGTATACTTATATATGTACGCGGCTGACGTACTCAGCGGTATTGTACGTTGCGGCATCTGAAATACGTACACTGAAGCCACTGTGAAATTCCTGTG